CCCAATTCACTCTCCTTTTCAGCATCCACTCTCTGCCACTATGACAGGAGACTAGACAGGATGGACCTACAGTCCAACCCAGCAAATGACAATTCTTATGTTCTTAAAAAAAAAAAGAGTACAGGTCAACAAAAATCACTTCCAATGCAATCCCTCTTCATAAAACAGTCTATTTGTGTGTTGTTGGGTTTTTTTAATCCATTAAAAGTCTTTCAGATGCGACTTCCAGGTCTCCCAAATTAATATAATCACAGTGAGCAAATTAGACCATGAACTGCAATACTTTTTAAAGAGCTGTAGGCATGTTTTCAAGTAATTTTAACTTTTCATCCAATTACAAACACTATAACAAAGGACTTTACAAAGAGCAGATTTACTCTTGCCTATGTTTACACATAGAAGAACTTATTTAAGCAACAGAAATTATAAATTATTCTATTAATTATCAAACACTTAGAAACTACTAATATAACACGAATAAAGTTTAGATGTGGTGGCTTAATTCAGGCAAAAGATTAATTTCAGCTCCCAGAAAAGTATAAAGAACAATTGTTTACAGTAACCATCATTCTTAAAGATGTATTGACTACCTACTTGCCTCTACTGATACGCATGCCTTGTGGACACAATATCCGATTCTTGGCCAGCAAACTCCATTAAGGGTCATACCTGTGCCCAAGTCCTTGCACACCTCCACACAAATACATCAAGGACAGAATGATCCAAGCCAATTCCTTCTTCAAATATACACTTTAGACACAAAATATCCTCGCTGCCACACATTTGCATGTTCACTGACCTGCATTCCTGCATAGTGGCTTTTATCCCTTCCAGGAGATCACAATACAACTGGAGACTCTCCCTCTGCCTGAAGACAGTGTTTGTACCCAAAAGCTTGCAAAAAACCATTTTTCCCAATGATTTAGTTGATCTAATACATATTATGACATTTACCCAAAGAACCTTGTCTGCCTATGTTCTTAGACCAACATGGCTAGAACCAACATTTTCAAATATACAGACAGTGAGTTGCAGGACTCTCAGTAGTGGGCACAGCATCAAGGGAGAATTCTGAAATCACTGTGGAAACTTCAAACAGCAGCAGTTTTTAATGTGGTTACTAACAGTTCCCTCAGACTGACCATGTGGATTTGACTTTGGTGACTAACAGCTATTTGTTTCAGGATAAGTACTAAAATTCCTATTTAAAACAACAACTGCATAACAGCCCTACTACATCAAACATCTGGTCTGAAAGCCTCTACAAAAGCACACCAGCTTGTAAAAGTCTGGGCTGGGCTCCACCTAGCTGCCTTTATGTATTTTGGAATGGAAACATTCTTCAAACAGGTTGAAGGGGCCTGTCTAGAAGTGGAATGAGCTCCGCTATAGCAAGGTGGAGCTAGCCTGGCTAAAGTCAGACTGTTGGAAACCCATGCAGGTCACCTTCATGACATGGATTGCCCCTTAATTCTACAGAAAGGTAAAAAATAGGTGTGCTCCTAAATTATTTTGTCCTGTTAATGTAAAGAAACTGGATGTTACTACCTTTAACATGTTAATTTAGGTTCCTCTTAGTTTAAGTGAGATTTGAGAAAGAAACTTGAGAAGTAGATGGGGTTATTTGGGTCTTAGAGAAAATTTGGGATGAAGTTTAAGAGACCTTATCCCAAGGGAACACTGTACAAAAAGGGCTTACACATCTGCTCTGATCTTTGAGCTGATACAA